AAGAGAGGCCAAAAATGCTTTCTCTGGGATAAGATATCAGATCTGCTACTGCTGTCATGAAACCGGGGTCATGTAAACTAAACATCCTTGTAACTTCTTTTGGAAAGCACAGAAGTCTCTCAAACTGTAAATATTTAAAAATAAAATTAGGCACATAAGAGATAGGTCTAAGATGCATAAAGCTTACCCAAAGATATTAATCTTGGGCAACATTTAAAAGCTATTATCCATAAAATAATTTATCCCATATGCCTTAAAACTGAAAATAAAAGAATTATTTCCTTTCTTTATGTAATCAGAAGTGGCACATTCAAATAACATACCAAATGCTACGTCCAAGCTGATTTTTCACAATTTTTGAAACTCCTCAGTTCATATGTTAATAAAATAGCAAGAGTAGAAAGAAAGGTGCTGATAGAATGGAGAAAGCTGCACTTCCTCATGTTAAACAGACTACCTTCATCTGACAAAAAGACACCTTCTCTTCAAAGGAAGAAGTATAAAACAACTGAACCATCTAAGGCTAAAAGCAAATCACTTAATGAAAGTATGTGGCATATTAATTGCAGGGGACGACTTCTCATCTTTTTTGAACTATAATTGCTGATTTTAAAATCATCAGTCTTCCTTAATTACTGCTGACAAAGATCATATCAGACGCTATTTTAAAAATCATTTGAAGAATACGGTTAGGTGCTTTTCGATAAGAATGGTACAAAATTTAGTATGCACGTATACAAAACTGAGGTGCAGGCGTTCTTGTAGTCACTCAATGACATATTCTCCACTTTCCCTTCCTGCTATTAACTTCACCTCTTCTCTTTACACTTATCCAGTGTTTACACTAGCTACATAGGGGTATGAGTGGAGAAATGGACTTTTAATTAGCAACTCTGAGTGCAGCCCAGATTCACCATCATCCTTTGCTACACTACACCAGAGACAACAGGAATTTCTGTTCTTCTGACCAAGACACCGATGGAATACCCACAAATCGGTCCAAGATACGAATTATTTTCTATGGATTGTGCTTCACCTCTTAATCAGTTGCTTGTCTGAATGGCTTAGATGTAATTCTACTTCTTTTTTTTTTTTTTTTTTCTCCTCCCACTCTTGTACAGTCATTGCAAAAAGAGAGCAGAATTTGTGATAAGAAGGTGCTGTGAATTCTCTCCAGACGGTTGGATGACATTTATCTATGCTACCGTGACTCCTTGCCTCTTCTATACCGGCAACACAAAAGCTCTTCCACAGCAGACCTTGTGATGGTGAGTTGCACAGATCAAAACCTGGTGTTCAAGAATGAGTCAACAGAAAGTAGTCATATAGCATACTTCTGCTGGCAAGCACCACGTTTTCCATCAGAAAGGGATGTGGTATTTACTGCATGTCAACTGAACAGCAGCGTCCCTCCACAGTTGTAACCTCCTTCAGCAAGACACACAAGTACAAGGATCACAGTCAATGACAATGCTGCTAAAATGGCTCAAGAAGAAAAGAAGAGCATGAAGGAATGGTCTCTGCAGGGACGAGTAGTGCACAGATATGCCAGCAGATATACTGGATCTCTTGCCTTGCTTCTCCTGGTTGCAGTTCCCTTCCCCCACTGGCTGCGACTCAAACCCTTCTCTTGATCTGCTCCCCTCCCCCTGAGACTTGCCTTTGAATTATGCAAGCTTTGCACTCCCCAGGGTTTATCTGCCAAAAGGTAGCATGTGGCCCATGGTTTGCATTTTAGTTTAAAATTTTCTATTACAGCAGTCAGATCCTTTCAAAATACTTTACTTCCTTTATTCCCATAGGCAGAAAGAATGGCAGGAAAAAATTGTTCACAGCAGTATGAGAGGATGTAAAAGTTCTACATTTTCAGTTTAAAAAAAAAAAAAGAAAAGTGGAATATGGTTTTAATCAAGTAGTTTTCCTTCCTAGACGAGTGCTTCCTTCTTGTAATATATATAACCTGACTGCCTATAAAAATAAAGGTGCCAGTTGGAGCCATTTAGGAGACCTAAGGAAATTCTGCATTAACCTAAACTCCTCCACTCCTCAGTTCCTTCCACTATCATTCTGTGTGTGGCCTCTCCTGATGAGTTAGGTCACCAATATCCATACATATCTACAAAGATACTTCAGAAACACATGCATCATAGGCTTCTCATTACTGATGTGGTCCAGGCTGAGCACAGACCATCTATGTGGAGAAACTGCCATGGTGCACGCGCACACTATTATTTCCATATGATACCTAAAATTGCCTCAGTAACTCGCAACTCTCAGAATATACAGAAGCTTCTCCTTGTTCTAAGTTTGCAAATAAAAATACATTTTCCGCTACAACTGCCAAGATTTAAAGACCCAAACCCTAAACCTTATCAAGAGGAAAAAGCCAAAAGCATCCGTTTTGAACCCAAGAAATCCGGAGTAAAATTTCCGGTTTAATAGTTGCCTAATAAACAGATACTAAATCTGAGGTGTCGTGCCTGCCTAAAAATACTGTTAATTGCCCACATCAGAAAATCATTTGGCTTCTAACCAGGAATTCGGTGGAGAAAAGAAGAAATATTTTCTGGCAAGCTGACTGAAGGAGAAAAATAAATGCTGATTGAAGCTGCTCTACAGTACAGAACGTTAGCGCAGGTCCTCGGGGAGATGGATTAGTAAGCAGGAAGAAGGTGAGGCTGTCAAAGGTGCATGATAAATTCATTTAGCACATAGATACAGAATGATTATGCACATAGATATACACACAAACAGATTTTTTATTACTTTCAGCTCCACTCATAAGTAAAACCAGAATAACTCACCATTGGCGATGATAGTCATTAAATCTCTGCACTGTCAATATTATATCAAGGCTGATAATACGTACCATTTCAAACTACATATATGCATTTACATAATACCAAAATATGCTTTACAGAATACAAGTAAATACTAACTGAACAGGAATCTTTTTACTGTTTTACCAACCTGCGTAAAAATACTAGATAGAAATATTCCACTGGACCAATCTCCAAGTAACTCAGAATGAAAGTGCTGCACCATTCATTCTGCTGCCTGCGCTCATCAGCATGTATTTCTGACACCATCAGTAGCGCTCAGAAATTCTGCTGCTGGTAAGCTACTCCACTATTATGAACTCAACAACACTGCTATTCTCCCTCTCCTGTTTTCATTTTTATATGCCACTCAGCTCAGGCAGCATGGAACAAATCAAAAATAAGAAACATTGTAGTGAAGCACAATGAAAACATGACAAATTCAAAAGATTTGGTAATAAAATATATTAATATATTTATAGAAGTAGGAAGTGAATGCCTCTCTAACTGAGATGATCCAACATCCAGACAGATTTGTAACTTCACTGGTCTCAAATTACTTCGTTTTAGGCTATGACACAAGTAGAACAGATCACAATTAAACTGGTAATAGAGCTATTCTCGAAAAATCAAAAATGACATAAAAATTGTGTGTGGTAGATCGCTATTTTGATTAGTATTCAGTTATTAGTTTCACAAACGATGACTCAATGATGGTTCATTTAATACCAAAATTAAGAACAAATTACACACAAAGCCCAGTCTATTTTTCAGCTCATGCTTAAACCCAGCACTCCGAGAGTCTAATAAATACTCTCACAAGGTAAGAATATTTCCTTGTCAGTGTACAGGGGACAAACATTATCAATGAAATGAAAACATGACAGGGTGAACATCTAGTACACTTGAGTCAATAACTGTTTCAAACCCAGGTGATGACGTTTTTCGTAAAAGCCAAGTGTTCCAGCATCTCTCTTCTTAGCTCAGTTAAACACATTTATGTGCAACATGTAAATTGTAGCTCAAAGAGGACCAAGATGCAGTCTGCAGACTGACGGCAACCCACATAATGACGACATCCAGCCACCACTTTTGGTACTTAAGCCAGTCCTTGTACACCCCTACATACCCCATGTACCCCCAAAACCTTTCCACTGCACCCACAAGCCAGTCACAACCCACAGTGCTGCTACGATGCGACTTTCTCTACAGTCTGTCAAGGTGCCCCAAATGGTCAGATGGCCAGTGTGTGCAGAGAAAGTAGTATTATTTTAAGTAATAATTGCTTACGTCTCAGAACATCTTTCAATAAGCAACAAATAGCAAAAACTTCAATTAGGATTAGCCTAGAATTCTACAGTAAACGTCAAACCTAATATTTGTAAGCAGAAGTGTCTTAATTCTTGCTTTCATTCAGTTTACATATCTATTCCCTGTTGGTATACATCTAGCCACTCTTTTATAAAACTGTTGATAGCATTCACATTATTTTGTTCTCAGGGACTCAGAATATTTTATAACAAAGTACCAGTTACATTTCTTCTGTAATTAATGTACTTGCAGCTATACTTGCTACCAATGTATTGTCTGAACAGAGGATGTAAAACCGATCAAAAATTTGTTTTAATCACCCACACCATCCTGCTCTTTTTTTTTAAAATTTAAACAGCTGTTTAGATGGAAGAGGGAGGAGTCTTTAAGCCCACAGTATCCTAGGGGATACTTTAGCAAATAGATTTTTCTGAATGGTGCTGAGTCCAAGCGAGACTACGGATCTTTCCAATGTTTAAGTATTTACTTTTGCATATGAAAAATACAGGACAAGTTATTAATTTGATAGCAAGCCAAATAAAAATAATGGAAGCTACAAAACGTTTGATGTGCACTACATATGCAGGATTGCATTAAAAGAGAATTTTTATTTTTATATTGACATCCAGCTTGTCCTAAATCCAGGTGCACAAAGTTTAAGCACAACTTGCACACTTGCTCTCTTAATTTTGCATGCTGTGACAACTGGTTCAGGCACCTTGCATTTGACTGGCCTGTAGCCAAACCACAAGAGAAGGCAAAGATTTGAACATTTGTTGGTAGACTTGAACGACATGGAGTCTTTACGCTTTCAACGCTGCAGCGGTTAACAAAAGATTTTCCTTTGCTGTATTTCAAATACAAACTTACCTCTCTCAATACAGTATCCGTTATTGAGCTTAAATTAACAGCTCCTTCGTACGTCAAATAGTAGAACACATTCAGGGACCTAACAGCCTCTGGCCCTTGCTGCTTGTAGCCAAAAATCAGATCAATCCACTGGTGAAGCTGGCAGGAAACAAACTCACTTTCTAATGCCTGTGAAAAAAACACATACAAAATATATAAATGTAAGTGTGCCAGACAGTCATCATACAGTAGTAGCAGAAGCATTTTTTAATAGCGTACAAAATTATCTTAACAAAACTAAACATAGAATTTGTCATTCTATCCAAAAAAAAGGTGAGCCCTGCGACAGCTGCCAGAGTCTTGTGCCCTACTCTACTTCCCGTTGACCAGAAGACCTTGCCTTTTAAACTATAACAGTGGGAATAAGAAAAAATAGTAGTAAGTGGAAAGCATTTATGGACAGCCAGGCCACGTTTTTACGAACTCTCGAGATGAAATTGTGCTTTTCTGTGCGATCTGCATGGTGAATAACACCACCATGATAATCCGATTCTGACAGACAGAGAGAAGATTGATAGACTTGGGGAAACTGAACTAACTAGGGGTGTTGGGGTGCAAATTATTTAACGTGCTGGAATATCAACTTGCTATTACTTTTGTACATTTCTTGTAGATATCTCTTACACAAACCCATACAGAAACAGTCCTATGCTGAATGATTAAGCCACTTTTCTGAAGATGCTACCCAGTTACAACCCAATCCCCAAGACAAAAGCATCCAACAATAACGAATCTCTCCATAATGGTATTAGATACAGCACGAATATATTAGAAGATAAATTAAAAATCATTGTCATCTAAAGAGTTAATTCCTCTAGATTAAATCACTAGCAGGATTTGCTTTCTCTATTTTATACAGAAGATTCAACATAGTTCTTATTTGAATGATCAAATGAAACAATGAAACATAGTCTGATATCCTCTGCAGCTAACGAAACGAATGGCATTTTCCTTGTAAAGGAAATTCCTAATTTTGAGCAGAGGAAGTTAAAATTAATCTGAAAACCAAGGAAATCGCTCTGCAATTTGCACACAAAAATGATGGGTTTGTTTCATTAACGGATGCCTGAAAACAACATTTAAATTGACACATAAAAACAGCAATTGTCTTAATTTGTGCGGTGCACTCCACACAAAAGCCCTAAATATGTTCAAATTAGAGCAAGCTGCTTGATTGTCACTGCAGTCTCATGTCATATTAATGCATGACAAACATTAAACCATACACTTAAATGGCAATTTATATCATTTAAATGTTTACTGCCACACCAGATCATCACTCATTTAAATGTGACTTTCTGACAGCTAATTTCAGTTAATTTTCCTCGATTCACTTAATTAGAACTTTCAATCAAGAAAAGACCTGTACATATCTTCAACATCATATCGTTCTTTTTTTTATTATTATTTTTATTAGGATTCCCAGCTATTGAACTGCTGCAAGCATTCTTTAAAATGAATTACTACACAGAATAGTATCTCTGTGGATGATCATATGGAAATACCTTACAACGTATATGCTTAGACTGAATTTTTTCTTGCTTACTTTTTTCTTTTTTTTTTTTTTAAACTAAAAAAACCCCCAACATTTAGACACAGACACACAATTAAAACTATAAAAAACCACAAGCGGGCCAATTAAAAATTAATGATTTCAAAATTGTTTAATAAGATAAAACCAGTCAGGAGTCTCATGAGTGTCCATAATACTACAATGTGCAGCCATAAAATTCTACAGGGCTCAGCAAATGACAATGATAGGAATTAATTTTCTTGCTATCCTGCTAAAAAAAAAAATTAACCCTAGAATATACTTACTGTTATAATGATAACTATTTAATGTCAGGAAAAATAGCATTAAGAACATGTGACTTTATACATATATCTATATATTTAGTATGTGCAGAGGTTGTTCAATATTTTCCGTTTCTTCAAAAGCTAGATTTGTAATGGATTAGAAATGGAATGTAATAGATTTGAAATTGGACAGTAATAGATTTGTACTACCCTCACGAAGCACTTGGACATGAATAACTAAAAGGATATCACTCTGCAACGTCTTCAGATTAACAGATACACAAATCTGACTTTTTCTTAAAAAGGCAAAACTAGAACACGTTCTTTGCCTTCTCATGGAATGGTTGGGAGTCCTCCTGAATTTACTTCTCTTTTTCAAGTTTTGAATTATTTTACACCTGTGATTTATACAGATTCAACAGCAGTTCACTTTCTTTTCTTTTTTTTTCCACATTAGGCCATTTTAAATCTTCATTCTTATTTGCCAAGCCACAAACAAAAGGGCTAACTGAAAAATTACCACCATCATCATCAATACCCAGGACCCTGAAGGCCAGACCAAACATAGCACACAAATTCGAAGGCTAAATAAGTTTGCCTGTCATTGCAGGTTGACAGTTAAGCTCTTGGTTGGAGGGAAGCACTTATGCTATGACACAACCGATGGAGGAACAATAGCTAACTGCCTGTATAATGATTAAAAAATAAAGCAGGCTTTCAAGGAAAACACCACAATGTACCAGTACGTGTGATGTACTTTCCAGCCACTCTGATAGATACTATTTAAGTATAATGGTACAAATTAAAATAAATCTGAGCAGTGAAAAAGTTCCAATTTGCCTAACTCTCCGGTTTTAAAAAGGAGTATTTTTGAAAAAAAGGACGTTACTGTAAGCGTTTACCTCTCACAAAACTAAACCAAGGGTACCGAACCTTAAGCATTTAGGATTTCTAGGACAGCCAGTGCTCATTAAGGGTCTAGTTAAATACAGCATGCAGCGATGGGATGCTAACATCCTTCCCATGCTGCTCTTAAAGCAAACCAATCAATCGTTAGCGCTCCCATAGCAGACCGAGCACATCATTTACGGTGTGCTCTGAGGAAAACGTGCAAACCAAGAAAATCCTCCAAAACGTCCAGCACAATACAGTAGTACCGCATCCTATTGAGTTATTGTAAAATAAATCAGTGAGTAACGCCCAATTGTTAAAGGATCAAACAAGACCATGAAAAGACCGCCACGCGAAGCCACGCACAAATTGTCAATGCTACCCACAGGGACTCATAGCAACTTTGACAAACTGTCTTGGGGCTGATATCTGTTTCTTTAATGAGATCTATTAGGCAGAGACTAAAACACTTGAGATATGCTAAAAAGTACAGCATACAGATGTCAAACACAAACACCTATTAGTAACTTTCATTTCTTCATTCCCAAGGTAGAAACGCTTCAGACACATCAACAAATTGAAGCTTTGATCTTCCAAGGAAATTCTAGTTTATTCATAAATATTTTTCAAACGCACAATCTGATGTCACTAAATAAAGTCCATGAAAACTACTTCTTCGTGAGCGACTCTGAAATTAATTATTTTATGTGCATTTTTTTCTGCTCTGTTTTCTGAAAGGAATGAACAGAGAACTAATTTCCTGCTAGCAACTGAAGACTAATACCAGTCTAATACTGATACTAATGATTTGGTAAAACATGGTCGGAATGACAAAAAACATAAAACTAGCAGGTTAGCAAAGATTTTTCCTTTTTCAAGTATAAATACTCTATCCATTTATTATGATGTATTTTTCCCAAACAATATTATACCCTTGGAATCAAGATTTGTATCTTACAAGTGAGTACTATTGGCTCTTGCCCTCTGCTTTTCTTTCTGGTTTAGATTACATAATGACATGAAGCACATGAAATGATGCCTATTAAAAATGAATATAAACTGTGCTTGAGATTGGGATGTTCCAATGCTGAAATGAGATGAAAAGATTAACTCTATTTCTTTTCACCAGTAGAGATATTTACTCATAATCAAGCTATTCACAAATAGACCACAGACTTGCTTGCTCTATTCCTATGCTGATTAAAGCGATGTAATCTTGAAGCACAGCATAAATGTAACTTATTTGAAAGACAGAAAGGAAGTCCAACCTATACAAAATGTGTTTTATACAGTTAAAATCAAAGGAGAAATTTTGATGAGAAACCAAAACTGCTTCTCATATATGAATAATCTTTCCTAGTCACTCAATTAAAAAAAACCCAAAACCCCAGGAATATACTACATCAGCAAGTAGGAAATTACAAATCTCAAGTACAAGTAATTGCCTATTACCTGTAACGGGCTAAATATTTTAATTTCTCTTTGAAGTAAGGAATTTCCTTTGAAACACTTAAAATAATTGAGTCTCTTTTTTTTTTTTTTACGTTCCATTTGAAAAATATTTATGTATGAACAGAAAAGCACGAATTAGGATTTCACACATTCTTAGCAAAACCACAATTCTGACGTGAAAAATACTCTTCTTGAACACCACAAAGCACTCGCGTAACTACAGGCCCAGGTAACCATTTCGGTTTTTAAATCAAAACAAAAGCAACAAAACCAAACAACTGGAATTATGTTTGCATGTGCAGGCTTTCAGACACAAGTTGGTAATGCTGTCGTTGATATATGACCTTTGTAAGCTACAATGAAGAAGGCTGGTTTTTCAGCCTAATTAGAACTGTTTCAAATTTTCCTGCTAAATATATGATAGAAAGTCCTTTCAACTTTTTTTTTTATTCTAGAGTTTCTTTCCATGTCAACCTTGTTCCAATCAAAATATGTTTTGAATTAAATTATTTTGATTCAATATGTGGATCACATTTCACTTCTAAGATTTAAAGCCCAAAAAGGAAAAGTTTAGGCTGCTCAAACAAAGCAAAAGCAGCCACTTTGCGGAAAGCTATTCACATTTACCGAGACTGACAAATTGTTTGTGTGCACCATTAGGTCTAGTTTCTGCAATAGTTGCCAGATTTCCTGTCCTCCTAATAACATATTAACTCTTGAACTGCTGGCTTTATCTTTTGAGGTTTCTCAGTAACCACTAGTATTCAAAAGTAAATTACCAAACACACTTTCACCAGCAACATTATTTTACCACATGGGTAGACATCTGAGGGGAAAAAAAAGGAAAAAAGTATAAAAAGCTCTTAGAAAGATACTGAACTCAAGCCTGCCTTGAAGATATCAGGAGGGGGAGGAAGAGGACAGCAGACGTAAAAAGGAGAAACCCAAGTTCTCCATGAGGTAATACAAATTTCAAAAGGATGAAATAGCCTCCAAAACTGTTCACATGATTGATGGTTTCTAACTTGCTAAATAACTGTTCAAAGTACATGCATATAGTTTTATTTACTGTATTTTGCCATTCGTTTTAAACATAAAATGCTTGGGAGAGTGAGCAATTACTTTACAGCTTACATTATAAGAACTACCTCATTTTTCCTTTTTTTCTGTATGTTCCAGAAGTGCATGGCCACTGTATTCTTCGTTACTGTTACAGTTGAAGTCTGCATTTTACTTTCTTTCTCTACTTGGTTACCAATACCAGGATAAAATAGAAAAAGCACTCTGGAAACTATAATCTTAATAAAAAGATTTAACTCAGATGCTTTACTGAAGACGATTGATCTTACAGAACAAAGGATGTCAACAATCTGAGAAGAAGCTCAGACACTGGAGATGTCTGGAAGATAAACGTCCCTTCTCCTACTTCTCTGTATTTAACAATAAGGTACTAAGTACTGACAAAAGAGAAAATTTGTGTAATACTGTAACTTAATGAAACAGAATTTTGTGGCATGGTATATTCTGCATAAGCAGCACATAAAAAAAGAAAAGTATTTTGCAATCTAATGACTCAAACTCCTACATGAATTTACGTAATTATTACCAAAATAAGGGTGAATTAGTAGCATGCTTTGCTGAAGATCTCGAGCACTTTCGCATCTTTTGGTCATTTCTATATTCACTTTACAACTCTATTTTGTAGTTTAAATGGACAAGTCAGACAGCTGTTACGTATTTTATAACATGAAAACTACATTTCCTTTGAAATTCAGCTTTAATTTCAACTGAAATGTCTATCATTAGGTGCCAGGAATGAAAGATTTAGGTGAACACAAAAACTTGCATTGGAGTATTCTGAGCTACTCTTTCCAAAAAGAGCAGTGATGACTCTTAAAAAAATATTTCTTAGTGTATCGATGATAATCTGCAACTTTGAGAGCAATATTTTAAGGCAAAACTGCTACAATTTACCAAGAACAGTAGATTCAACATTTAAATGTTGAATTTTTGTTCTTAAGTTCCAAAGTTTAGACATCTACCTTAGATGTCAACAGTGAAAAGATTTACACAGTTTGTCTTTACTCTTGTGAAGAATTCCACAGCCTTCATAGTAGAACAACTTAGGTGAAATAAAGCATCCTGGCTTGCAGGATCTCAAAAGTTACCCATTATGAGAAGACACAAGCATACGGCTGTTAGGACATTTGGAGAGCTAGACTTAAACCCACAAACTTCCAAAGATGACACTATAGCGTAGAGAAACTGAAAACAGGTTAAAGAAAGCCAACACGGGTCCCAAAGCAGTGTAGTTACAACATCAGATGCTGAGCAAGGGCTGATTTGCCCACTGTGCATGTAATTAGTATTTCCGTGTGCACAAACTAAAATTCACGTGTGGGCTTACCTCACTTGTTCACATACTCCACCGCTCATGGTTGTGACAATACTGACTTCCTCAAAGAAAGAAAAAGGGGGGGCAAAACATGTCTCAGCCAAGTGGCTCCATAAACCAACAGATGCTTTTCAAAAGGCGCACCAAGAATGGCCCCTTCCTAATTGTCTGAGTTCTTCTCAGCCAGATGTAGAAAAGACACAGAGAATTGTGATAGGGACAAAAAATGATCAAGAGGTCTTTACTAAATTCCCCTGCATGAAAAATAATATATAAAACACACAGCACCAAAAGGAGGCAGGAAGCTCCCTCCTCCCTGAAATTCAGCAATTCTGCTCCCAGTTCCTCCAGCACTTGTTTGCAGGAAGACTGACAGCCTGGATCTGGAACCTATTACGCTTGGAAGCACAGGCTGTTAACCACACAGCTGACAGTTGACTCAGCCAAATTAGTTTAAATGAAGTTTTGTGTTAAAAAGAAACCACCAAACACCAAAATCCCACAAGATATGGTTGTATTTCACAATGCAGTGTTGTGTACTGACTGAGCTGTGCATCCTGTCCTGCCGAGCTAACGTACCTTTCCTCTCAAAAGGTTAATGCAGGTATACTGCATCTAACACTTCAGCTAACTTGCAGACTTCTAGCTGAGGGACTTTCGGCATGGCATCTCCTTGAGCCTTGTCAACATGACCACAGTTGTTTCCCAATGTCAAGTCTTAGCCAAAGACAAACGGAAAGGTCAGAGTACTACACACTTCCCAAAGGGTATTTGTCATGGTCAACAGCGATTCACCTTTTAATGTCACAGATTCCTTCTCGTTCAGAGAGAGGTGCGAAACACACACTAGAAAAATTTAACCCATGCAGAATTTGCATGCCTTTCAGGTTCAACAAGCTTCTCACTGAAGCTAGAAACAGGTCAAACTCTGAAATTCAGAAAAGTGTTAGGATTAGAGCACGCTTACCCAGAGGTGGGGTTTTAGTTTACTTACTACTGAATGAATATATAGCTAGCATAATTGTAAGAAACTTGGTGGATGCAGAGAAAGTCATGAACTTCTAGAACACATCTGAAGCATCATCCGAACTTGCATGATCAAAATGCAAAAAAGGTTTATGTTAGCACAGACAAACCTACACTTGAAACAGCTTTCATGTTAAGTATTAGGCTGGGTACTACCCTCCCATTTAATTCTCAAACAAAAATATAAGCCTATGCATACTGCCTGGTTAATGACAGCACAATACATTTCAAACTGGCAGAAAATAGTGATTTTTTTAACATATTTTTCATCTAAACTGCTCGTACATTTCTTCCTTCTGATTTACTCTGTAAGCCCTAAAAGTCAACTGTTGCTTTATTTTTGCACTCTGTTTCAACAGCTTGCAGCATTTATACTGTGCTTTGATGTGTCAGTTGTAGACCCAATTCACAGGAACTGTGATGATCAACAAGTATTAGTATGCATGTAAGAGGAGACAGAAATGGTTGCAAACACATGGTCTTCAAACCGCTGCAAACAGCACAAGCAAACATCTTAGAGGAGTTGTAGAGACTAATCTAGTTTGTCTCTGAAGCCAGTTCTGGGGAAAAAAAAAATGTTCTAGAAAAATTTGTTTAAGATTAGGAAATGGTATGACAAAAGGTCAAGGAATTTAAAAACTTAAAGCACACTTTAGATGCAAGTCAGGCAGACAAGTCATTTCAATCTTGTCATTTGACTTGTCTGCTAATTCGCAGAATAGGGAGCATTCAAGAGCTTTTGGAGAACGGAACACAAGATTTACAAAGGCAATTAGGGTACCACATCCGAATAAATCAAACAGTTACAAAAAATAGGAAACAGCACTATATCATCACATGGCACAAATGTGTAACCCAGCCTGGGGCTAACACACACAGCTAAGCATGGGACTTGCTTCCTTGCGATGATTATCAACGGTGAAGCCCTGATCTTTTATTCTGAGTGGTTGCTCAGGATGACAATGCAAGGTATGTTTGGCAAGGACACCACACTCCTTAAAGCTGGCAAGACACAGGAGAATCATTCTTTAACAATGACAGAGAAAGGCAGGATTTGTGCATCTCAGCTTCTACATTCAGCATTTAAGAAAAAAAAAAAAAATCAGAGTTGTGGAAGATACTATTTGGAAAATGAAACGCTCTTTACAAACTTGCCCGAACACAGCAGGTTCTCATTTAACATCTTGTTCTGGCATATTTGCTAAGCAAGCTACCAGGCAGTCTAGATCCAGAGGAACTGGTGCTCAGGGTGGCTCACATTCTATCAAATACCCTAAGACAAGCACTTCCACGGGCTCCCGGTTAAGGAGGGCACTGCCCCAATCTTGACTGTATGTCATGCCCTGTCCCAGTCGATCTCCTGGGCTGTCTCTAGCTCCCTGGGAGTAGTTTGGCTAGTGCTGGAATTTGTAACAGAACTCCAAGAGCTCTGAAGCTCAATGCTTGAAAGAAATCAAACTGAAAACAGACAATATTTGTAAGTTACTTCTTAAAACATCCATCCTTAGAAAACGTGAAATCTCTTTTTTTTTATTCTCATTTCATCGTGCATTGCATAAGTTTTGCTTATCATGCTTTCTTGTAGATAGTTTGTTTCACATTTTATTCCCTTCTTTCACCTAAACCACTTCAAATTTCCACTATGACAGCTGTACACAGAAAGACAAGTGATATACTGAGTATATTGAGCATGCTCAGGAAATCAAGGCATAAACACCTCCAAGCGCAACAGACATTCTGTAGTCAGTGGAAAGCAAACTTTTCATAACCTTTATACTACTCTGCCATGAACCGTGTTAGAGGGAAGGGCTTAGGAGATGAATACTAATAACATTTAGAGGATGTATGCTGAAAAAGCATGTGGTCAGCTAGTAACATTTTAATGAACTAAATTTTTCCAGTTATAAGCTAAATAAGATGTGAGAAAACTCTAGAATTTTCCCTTGTATCAACAATAGATTTTTTTTTCTTCACAGAAGATGGCCTAAAATTTGAGAAAACTCTAGAATTTACCCTTGTATCAACAATAGATTTTTTTTTTCTTCACAGAAGATGGCCTAAAAATCACTAACATTTAGAAATAAAATCAAACTATACTGCAATAAAACAGTATTTAACTCCCATCTTCCAAAAAATCATTTAATTCAGAGGCTGGATGAATTCAGCTCTTGCTCTTTACAGGGTAAACAAGCAAGCAACTATCTATGACATTACTTCCCAGCATGGCAAAAGAACAAGTTTGGGGTTTTTTTAAATACAAAAATAAAAAGCAATACATTGTTTTTAAGCAGCAACAACCAATGACCAGGTTTTAACCGACTAACAGTTTAATCAAACTACCTAATCTGACCGAGGGTAACACTAATACATGAATTTTATTTAAATAAAGTCCCATACCTGTGGCATGCAAGCTTTATAATCCAGAGTAAGATAAGCACAAGGATACTGCCAAGTCCTCGCCTCAAAGTCAAGGTTTTTCAGAGCCATAAGGCACTGATCTCACCCAGGAAAGCTGGAGGTCCCCACAGTTCCTCACCATCACCACCACACCACCGAGCAGCTACTGCAAGTGGGTTAGACACCGGGTCCAACCCCTGGAACCTAAGGCTGGAGTTCACCTATCGGCAGAGCAGAAGGGAATTAACACTGGTTTTAAACGGCCTGAGAAGTCTGTGGTTTTAATTCTACTCTTCAGTTTGGAGAACAAGCTGCTTTTTTATTATTATTATTCCAGGTGTATAGCAAAGAGCAAAGAAATCTCTTTGTAGTATTTAGAAATCGGGAAAAAAAAAGGCACATCAGGCCTGCAGTCGGCCTCACCCTGAGGTACTGGCCTCCGCCTCCTCTCAGCTGGGAGCCCCGGGGAACTGGGCCCTGTCCTGGGGAGCCGGGCCCTGCCCCGGGCACTACCGCGGGGAACTGGGTCCTGTCCTGGGCC